AATTAAAATACAAAAAAGTAAAAGATAAGGAAAAAGAAAGCAAATCTGATATATATTTTTTTTTGTGCTGGGTGGCCTCCCAGTAAGCGCTTTTGTTTTATGTCATTGGCTTGACATGTGGCATGCTCATTCTTCATAGATTGGTTCAGCTAACTCTACAGAAGCGGTGAGTTCTGCCGTCCAACCTTCATAGAAAGGTTTCAAACGATGTCCATTGACCTTGAGTACTTTGCTGGTTTCTAAACTTGTAATTTCAACTGCACCATAAGGAAAAATATTAGAAACAACAAAGGGTCCAATCCAACGAGAGCGCAATTTTCCAGGAAAAAGTTTTAAACGCGAATGATAAAGAAGGACTTTGTCTCCAACATGAAATTCCTTTCTTGTAAGCATTCGGTCATGAAGATTCTTAGTCTTTTCTTTGTAAATTTTTGCATTCTCGTAAGCATCATTTCGAATTTCTTCCAACTCTTGCAGTTGCAATTTTCTTGCAATCCCAGCAGCATCATAATCCATGTTGCATTGTTTAATGGCCCAAAAAGCTTTGTGTTCAAGCTCCACCGGTAGATGACATGCTTTCCCATAAATCATTCTATAAGGTGACATTCCTATAGGTGATTTATAAGCAGTCCTATAAGCCCAAAGTGCATCTCCAAGGCGTAGACTCCAATCTCGTCGGTTAGGTTGCACTGTTTTCTCCAAAATGGACTTGATTTCTCGATTGGAAATTTCAGCTTGGCCATTCGTTTGCGGATGATATGCTGTGGATGTTCGATGAGTCACATGATATTTGCGTAGCAATGCTTCCATGGAACGATTGCAGAAATGAGTGCCACGATCACTGATGATAGCTTTAGGGATGCCAAACCTATCAAATATGTGAGTCCTGACAAAATCTAAAACAACCTTAGCATCGTTAGTTCGTGTGGCTTTCGCCTCAATCCATTTGGACACATAATCAACAGCAAGAAGAATATAAAGATTTCCAAAAGAAGAAGGAAATGGACCCATAAAGTCAATACCCCAAACATCAAAAATTTCACTTACAAGAATATTTGTTAAAGGCATTTGATTTTTATGAGTGATATTACCTGTTCTTTGGCATTTTTCACATGATTTGCAGAAGTGATATGCATCTTTAAAAATAGAAGGCCAATAGAAACCACTTTGAAGTACCTTGTGGGCTGTTCTTTTTGCTCCAAAATGCCCACCACAAGAATGAGAATGACAAAAAGTGAGAATAGAATGAAATTCATCCTGTGGTACACATCTCCTTACTACTTGATCCACACAAAATTTCCACAAGTAAGGAGTATCCCAAAAATAATATTTAGCATCAGCTCGTAACTTGTCCTTTTGGGATGTAGACAAACCTGGAGGGAATTCTTTAGTGACTAAATAGTTCACCAAATCAGCATACCATGGTCTTGTAGAGGAGTGCATACCATGGTCTTGTAGAGGAGTGCAACATATACAACTGTTCATCAGGAAATGTTTCTCTTATTGTTTCAGTTGGAATATCATCGGTCCTTAGTCGACTCAAGTGATCAGCCACATGGTTTTCGGCACCTTTTTTGTCTTTGATCTCAAGATCGAATTCTTGTAAAAGCAAGATCCACCTAATCAGTCTTGGTTTGGACTCCTTCTTCTTCAAAAGATATCTTAAAGCTGGATGGTCAATAAAAACAATGACTTTTGTACCAAGTAGATATGACCTGAATTTTTCAAGAGCAAACACCACTGCAAAAAGTTCCTTTTTAGTTGTATGGTAATTGCATTGTGCTCCGTCCAATATACAGGAAGCATAGGCTATACCATGCAAATTCTTCCTTGTTCCTTGCCCAAGGACAGCCTCTATTATAAAGTCACTCGCATCAGACATTATCTCAAAAGGCTCATTCTAATTTGGTGGTTGGATGATAAGGGCAGATGTGACACGCTTTTTAAGCTCATTATAGGCATCTTTACATGCTTGATCAAACACAAAATCCACTTCTTTGGCTAATAGTCTGCATAAAGGTGCTGTAATCTTCGAGAAATCTTTGATAAAGCGTCGATAGAAACCTGCATGGCCAAGAAAAGAACGAATTTTCCTTACGCAGGAGGGGTAAGGCAATGATGAAATAACATCTATTTTAGCTTTATCAATCTCTAATCCATGTGAAGACACAACATGCCCAAGAACAATTCCTTGTTCTACCATAAAATAACACTTTCCATAGTTTAAGACAAGGTTAGTTTCAATGCACCTTTTCAAGATCAAAGACAAATTTTCTAGACATTTATCAAAAGAATCACCATACACTGTATTTGAAAGATCTCTTCCAGTATACCTAGACCACCTGGTAAGAAAAAGAAGACATTAGCATATTTAAATATTGCATTCATTCGATCACACATTGTGGAGGCCTGTAGTTCCTCTCTAATTATTTTTCCAATGATGTCCCCTTTTGCTAAAGCTTTGGGGACGACCCCCAAAACTTGACTACCTCCTAAAAATATACCTATGGACACTTCCCCCATTAACCCAAGGCTACCTTCGCCATACACTAAATAAATCTTTCTCTCAACTAGTACCTGACCAAGATGATTTGTTGATTCTAAAAACTCCATTTCCTTCCCAGGATTGGATCCACCAAAAACATAAATATTTCTTATATGATGACTTGAGGAACCTTCCATTTCCATACACTTCTATAACTGTTGAATGTATGTGTTAAGCAGAAATAAAGGGAAGAAAGAGAAGATTCTATAGATGAGAAATTCAAAATGCAATCATATCACTTATATGTAGGACAATAGGAGTCTCATACTGTCTTTCTTTATTATTTTTTATTCTTTTTTTAAAGCATGTGTATATACGGGTATTTGTGATTGTGGCTCATATCTTCTCTTGGTTTTACATAAAAGAATGGCTTAAACGCCCTTTATGGGTCGGGGATAAGCTTCCTATCCAGTTTTCTTAAAAACTAACAAACATGGTCTTTTATAATCAGATTCTCAAGACTATGCCAACCATGTTCTTTATAAAAATGAGGTCATAAGTCATGAAATACATAATGCACATCGCCACTAGGATATGTCCCAAAAGTCAATAGAATATTATCTAAAGACTCTTTATGTTTTGAAATAAATCCTAACTTTTGACATTTTCACAAGATTTGCAGAACATACATGTGTCTTTGAACATGGTGGGCCAATAAAATTCACAATGTAAGATTTTTACAATTGTTTTTTTATGAAAAATAACCCCCACATGCTTTAGAATAACAAAATTTAATGACACTACTTACATCATTATTAGGAATGTATCTTTGAAATATTTGATCAGGATAATATTTGAATAAGGTTCATCCCAATAAAAGTTTTTCACTTCATTCAAAAACTTTCCTTTGTCTTCGGTACTCTAGTAAACTAGCAAAAATATTGAAGTAAGAAAACTGATAGTTTTAGCAAACCAAGGCATTGAACTAAGAGAAAGTAAAGATTTATCAGGAAAGTAATCATTGACTGATGTGATGTCGGATGTTGAATCTATTGTCAATCTTGACAAAAGATTCATATCAACATTTTCAGTGCCTTTCTTGTCCTCGATTTCATCTTGAGAATAAATCATTTGCAAATCTATATATTCGTCTAACTTTGTTTTACTTAAAATAGATTCAAGTTGGTCATAAACCAATTCTTTAATAAAATCTACTTTTTGTAAATCATTATCATCTCCAGGTTGCTTGCAAATATTGAAAACATTGATCTCTAATGTCATGTTTCTAAAAGATAGCTTCATTGCTAACATTAGAATTTCAACAAACTTAATTCATGAAAATTCTAGGAAAATGTCTCAGCTTTCCAAAAAATAAGGTTATGTAGACTTCTAGAATTCAAAATATGGACTAAACACTTAACAGTGTCCGGGCTGCAGGACAGATTCAAGCTTCTTCGTTGTTGCTAAGATTTTGGACTTTCAAATAGTAAAATTGAGTCTTGCATTTCTCATGAATGTTTTAGGCCTATGTCTTAGCTTTCTAGCCATATAAACCAAATTGAAATCCAAGATCTACAACTCCAGATGTGACCTAATGACTGAACAGTGTTTTAGTTTGGACTGAACCACCATCTATTTTCTAAGCTTCACCCTCTCTGTCTTTTCAATTTCAGTAGTTAAACTCATCAATTAATCATTTGATTTATAAGATAGGCCTGTATTTAAGATGAATATTTACCATAAATTAAAGATATTTTATAGTATCAAACTTGTTGTTGTAAAACATATTTTAGTTAAGGAGTTATTGATACTTCAAGTGCAAAATACTGATATAAAATCTTGATAAAAATAAAATTTTAAGTGTTAATTTACTTACTATAATTGCATATTATGGTTATGAGATTCTGAAAAATAAATATCAAAATTGACATTGGTGAATAGGAATCTTCACGAAGATATGTACATGAGATGGACACTTCTAAAGGATGTTACCATAAGGGGAAAAAAACAGATATACTAGATTTCTTTATTTTTTCCATTAATAGAAAGGTTCTCTAGCAAATTAAATTAAAATTTGCTTAATTGTTGAGCTTGTTATTTAATTCAGTAGTATAATTCGGGGAAAAGCTTAAGGATAGCATTTAATTTGTCTCTTGGCTAATTATAGAAATAGAAACCTAGCTAAACTAACGCTAATTATAGAACAGAACCACTGCAACCTAACTACGTACAGACCAAACACAATATCTAATGCAGTTAAACCTCCTACGTACTGTTAGCTTTTAACACTACAATTCTGTTTTGTTAGAAAAAACATGTAAAAATCTATCGATTCAGTTAAATGTCCAACAAGCTTGGGTATAAAGTAAGATAGCTTCTCACAATTACAACATCTGACAACAACCATCATTAATCATCAAATCGAAGCCTTTTATAGATTTTGTTGATAGAGAGAAAGAAATACAAATCATATAGCTTGAATTGGATAGATCATGGCAATGGCCATATTATTTACATGGAAATCCCGGCAAATGCCTCACTTATTTTGTGCATTATAGCGGCCTCCTTTGTTTCAAAGGTTCTGGGGCACCATGGACGTGCCGACAGGAATGATCCCAACGAGAAGGTGTTTAACGTGTTACGTTATGGAGCACATCGTGCAAGAGAGGATAACGCGCCGGTAAGCTGGTTTAGTATTTTGGATCGTAAGTGTTCATGGCATTAATAGTATATTAGAGGCATGCATTTAATTATCTGTTAAAAGAAATCCACATTTGATTTGGGGGGGGGGGGGGGGGGCGTATAGTATATTAGAGGCGTATATATCTGAATTTGCCCTTGATTTTCTCGTAAAGAAATTATGGTGAAATTGATTAGGTTGTGGGTTTGGTCTTCGCAGTCTTTCATCCGAGCATGGAAGGCTGCATGCAATTATAGGGGAAAGGCAAGGCTACTTATCCCCAAGGGAACCTTCTTGATAGGGGCAACTATCTTTCAGGGACCATGACAAGGTCCAGCACCCATTAAGGTTCAAATTGCAGGAACTCTGAAAGCTGTACCAGACCCTAGCACGTACGAAGAAGATTTCTGGATCTTGTTTGAAAACATCAATGGCTTACTGGTTACTGGTACAGGCACTGTTGATGGCCAAGGCAATGCTGTCTGGAAATACGATGTCGGCGACGGCGGTGCCAAGTCCCCTAGTGTAAGTAACAAAATGATCTTGACATACATGCACTTACTAATTAGTAATTAGAGAATATGGGATTAATTGCAATTTCATAATGATTCATCTTTCCTTTTTTATTTAATTATTTGTGGCGCAGTCTATAAAACTTAGCCATGTAGTCAATGGGATTATAAGACAGATCACCTCTATGAATCCAATGGGTTTCCGCATATCCATCGTCCTGTCACAGAACACCAAGGCCAAAAATCTTGCTATATTTGTGGAATGGTCTTGGTAATTAAGGGAAAAATGCTAGAAATTCTTATTATAGCTTTTCTTGAACCTGAGCCTTACAAGTAAAAAAAGCTGGGGAAATTAAAATAGCTACTAGAAGAAAATGTTTTAAAGAACTTGAATTGAAAAAACGATGCAATAATGATAAACCCTAATCTAAATTTTTAGACAGCTTTGAGATAGCCCAGGCCTCTTAGGTGAATGAAATTTGCTTCAAAGCAATTTTCTTCCTATCTGCAGCCTCTTCCTCCTTTTTTTATTGTAATTCTCAGTTAGTTGAGAATTAAGAATAAAAATAGACACAGCTGTTTTATTTATCTGTTTTGTATTTATATGCTAACTTCTCATTTTTATTTCTTGGCATGTTGGACTGTCTGAATGGTTGGAGTCGAAGGTAAACTCATTCCCCTTCTTTGAACTAGGTCTCTTTTCTGACTTTATCTGCTTGTTTCTATTGTCTCTCCTGAGCTTGAGTTAAGTTGTGTTTAATTTCTGCAATCTGTTCTGTCCTGTGTTGTAATTGTTCCTCTACTACTTGATTTTTTATTGACCCAGGAATATAATCTGTGAGGCTTGGGGGCGGGTAGCCGTAGGTTGCTTCAAACGGGGTAGATTTGAGGGATGTGTGGTAGCTGGTATTGTAACAATATTTGGCCATTGTTAGCCAATTAGACCAGCCCTTCGGGTTATTGACACGACTAAAAGGTTGATGTCTTCTCCCAAGTGTAGGAGTGTCGAAGTAATAAATAACCCGGCAAGACCGGGGTCGAACCACAGGGAGGTTAATTGTACAAATTATAAACAACAATTATAAACAACAATAATAGCAATAACAACAAGAACTATAATAACAACAACAACAATAATAACAATAATAACAATAATAATAATAATAATAATAATAATAATAGTAGTAGTAGTAGTAGTAATAGTAGTAATAATAGTAGTATTAGTAATAATAATAATAATAAAGAAAGAGAAGAAGAAGATGATGATGAGAACTTGGAGATGGAAAATTAATGTAAGGATTAAACAATAATAATAACAAATGTCAAGGTTAGAGGTTCCACTAATGGTATATCAAACAAGTATAATATAAACTCTTATTATTGAATTGGAAACCACACACAAAGGAGGTTCCAATCAGATTATATATTGTTAACGTGATTACATTAGTCATATTATTTAATTAATGCTAATACTTGTAAATCTCGTCAAGCATTCATGATTATAACTTATGTTAACAACAAATCAAGTTCCTTTCATAGCTTAGGTGTCGGTTATACCATATAGTATGGGCTATGAAAGTGCCAAGCATTTGTTCTACCAAGTGTTATACAATATAAATCAAGATTAGTCATTTAACAAGCAAAGTATTAAAGAGTGAACAAGATAACACATACAAAGCATGTTAGTATCAAACATTAAAGTCCATATTGAGTTTACACTATACTTATTCTTACACCATTAGTGTAACCTTTCCACCTTGACATAATTAACTTAGCTAGACATAATGAAAGAAAGCAAAATAGATAAACAAAATAAGAACATAAAAGCTAACTAAGTAAAGGAAAGGAAATGAAAGGCATAAACTTGATATTAATGAAAGCAAAGCAGAAGCATTACAAAAAATACAAAGAGAGAAAGGAAGAGCATGATCTTGATCTGGAAACCAAGATGCCTAAATGCATGGCAAATGCCTCCTTTTATAGGCCAAAATTGGGAACTATTGATTTGATGACTAATTGATAAGTGGGTGACCAACTTTTGACTTGGTGACAATCCTTATCTTCTCTTGTCTGCCCAAAAAGTCATTGATAACGTCAAAATTGAAGCTAGTTGTAAACATGAAAGTTTTAGGCAATTGTCTCAGTTTTCTTGTGTAAAGGATTCAGCTCATTTGGACTTCTAGAACTCCAGATATGGCCAAAATACCGAACAGTGCTCGGGCTGGAAGACAGATTCGGGCTTCTTTGTTGTTGCTACAATTTGGACTTGATAATTGTCTTTTTAGATCTTGGGCTCCATATGAAAGTTATAGGCCTATGTCTTACCTTTCCATCCATATAAATTGGACCTAAATCTGAGATCTGTAGCTCCAAATATGACCCAATTACCGAACAGTGTTCTGGTTTGGATTGCACCGACATCTCTTTTCTAAGTTTGGCCATCTCTTTATCCTTGCAATTTAAGTTCTTCAAGTCATCAATCAATCCTTTCATTTATGTAATAGGCCTGCATTAAAAATAGACATTTACCATAAATTAAAGGTATCTTATATTATTAGATATATTATTATAAAACATGCTTTGGTTAAGGAGTTATTGATACTTCAAGTGCAAAATGATGATATAAAACCATGATAAAAATGCACTTTTAAGTACTAATCAGTTATCACCTACATGGCATCTCAAATACCCTTCCAATGTTTTGTTGTTTGCCTTTGTCTGACCGTCGGTTTGGGGGTGGTATGTTGTTGACATCAGCAACTTAACCCCTTCAATTTGGAATAACTCTCCCCAAAAATTGCTAGTAAAGGTAGGATCTCTATCTGATACTATATTGTCTGGGAAACCATACAGTTTCATTACATTCTGTGAGAACAGATTGGTAATTTTTGATGCGTTGCAGGGGTAGGATATAGGAATAAAATGTACATATTTGGTAAACCTATCCACAACTACCATAATTACTGAGTATTGATTAGATTTTGGTAACCCCTCTATAAAATCCATAGATATGGATGACCATGGTCTGGTGGGTATAGGTAAAGGCTATAAGAGTCCTGAGGGTTTTGTGTTTTCTCCTTTTGCTCTCTGACAGACTTCACACTATTTGATATAGGTTTGTATATCTGATTTCATTCCTACCCAAAACAAATCTCTCCTGGCCCTTTTTAGTGTTCTTTTAAAGCCTGTGTGTCTCGAGGATGGGCTATCATGAATATAATTCAGGATGGTTGTTTTTATAGGGCTGGATTGACTTATGTAGACTCTTTGTTTGTAGTATGGTATCTCTCCCCTAAAATGATATTTCAAGGAGCTTATGGTTTCTTGGTCTAGTTATTGCATGATAGCTTGAATTTCCGAATCAGTTTTATAGCTATCTTTTAATTGATCAGCCCAATTAACAATTCGGGTAGAAATAGCCCATAATGTACCTTTTTTGTGGTGTCCTCCTATCTAAAGAGTGCATCAGCTACTAGGTTTTCCTTTCCTGCTTGAAACTTGACCACAAAGTCATATCCAATCAATTTAGATAACCATTTCTGCTGTGTGGGTGTTCCAACTCGCTGCTCCAATAAATACTTAAGGCTTTGTTGATCCATCTTAACCTTAAAGGCTTAGCCCAAAAGGTAAGGCCTCCACTTCTGAACAGTAGTGACTAATACTAGGAATTCCTTCTCATAAGTGGATAGTGATAGTTCCTTCCCCTTTAGACTCTTACTGAAATAAGAAATGGGTCTGCCTCCTTGCATTAACATAGCACCGAGTTCTATACCTAAGGCATCATACTCTATTATAAAACTTTGGTTGAAATCTAGTAGTGCTAGGACTGGGGGTTGATACGGCCTGTTTTAATTGTTCAAAGGCTTGTTCTGCTTACGAATCCCATTTGAAAGCCCTTTTTTTCAATAGTCCAGTTAATGGACCAGCAATCACCTTATAACCTCAGATGAATCTGTGGTAGTAGATTATTAACTCTAAAAAACCCCTTAGTGATTTGAGTGTGTTTAGTCTAGGCCACTTGATCATTGACTCCATTTTGCTGGGGTCAACATGCACTCCCTGACCTGATACAATATGCCCCAAATATTCAATTTCACTGCTTATAAATTTACATTTGGACTATTTGGAAAATAACTTATGTTGTACCAGAGTCCCAAATACCATCCTTAGATGTCTCTAATGCTCTTCCATATTATAACTGTAGACTAGAATGTCATCGAAGGAAACCAGTATAAATTTTCTAAGATAAAGTCGAAAAATATCATTCATCAAACCTTGAAAAGTGGAAGGGGCATTTGTGAGGCTGAAAGGCATCACCAAAAATTCATAGTGCCCTTCATGAGTCCTAAAAGCTGTTTTGGGGACATCTTTTTCCTTCATTTTGATCTGGTGAAAGCTTGACCGAAGGTCTAGCTTGGAAAAAATCTGAGAACCATGAAGCTCATCTAGTAGTTCTTCCACAACTGGTATGGGAAACTTGTCTTTCACAGTTTCCTTGTTAAGGGTATGATAGTCAACACATATTCTTCATGACCCATCATCCTTCCTAACTAGGAGGATTGGCGATGAAAAGGGGCTTTGGCTGGGTCTTATGGTACCCATTGCTAACAATTCTTGAATAAGCTTTTTTATCTAAGCAGCTTCCCTCACTCCATAGCTGGAAACCATCTGCAATATTCACCCCAATAGGCTTGTGTTTTAAAACTTTCATCCCTACCTTTCTTACTACCCTGGGATGTATGAAATTATGTGTACTTCCTGTATCAATTAAGGCCACGAAGTTATGGCCACTCAGCTTCACTTCCACCCTTATAATTTTAGGATTGGGACTCCCTATGATTGCATAAAGGGATATGTTGATTCCCTCCTTACCTTTTTCCTAAGGTTCCCCCAAATCAATTAGATCTTTAGGGACACAATTTTTCTCCTCCACCTCTTCCTTTACTTCCTGTATCAAGGATATCCTTAGTCCTCCACACCTATGGTCAGGTCCCTATTTCCTGTCATATTTAAAGCAAAGCCCCTTGTCTCTTTTTTCCTTCATCTGTGCTGGAGTGAGTCTCTGTATCAGAACTAGTTTATTTTCAGCCTTGGGCTGAGTTGGTGTTAGGTTTCGGCCTTGAAACCCCATAACACTAGGCCTCCAGGACTTCCTTATAATTGTCACATTTTTCCTCCTACATCCTTGCTAGTCTATAAGCATCCACTAAATTATGAGGGCTCAGCATTCTGACTCCCATTTTTATCTCCTCCTTCAATCCTCCTAGGAAACAGC